ATTTAATTGGAAGGATTAATATAGGTTGACACATATCAATTAGATATAACTTATGGTATTTTACTACAAGAATTCATTGATTTAACAAATTTGTTTCCACGAGTTGTTTTGTCTAATTAGGTACTTGATAGTTAGACCAATATGAGCATATGATTGAGGGTATAAAACTATGAATAAAACTTCTCAACTTATAATTAAAAATATATTACACCATTATTGATAACAAAACAGAATCTCCATTGATACAATCATTATATTTGTTATAGCTTTAGCTTAGTCATACTTTTTGCGGTTGTTTTGGTTATTTTTCCTCACAGATGGTGGAGATTGGTTACAATCTTTATGACAGTCAGAACATTCTCCTGCTGATGATGATCTTTGGCAATGTGAACGACAAATTACGTTGCATTCAATTTCAGATTTTGCTTCACCTCCAATCACAATCACCGCTATTATCATCATCAAGATCCATACTATGCCACAAAATTTACCCATCTTGTATTTTTTTGTTTTTCTTTTATGTTACGAATGAGTTATGATGTGAACTTACATCTCTATTTATAAATTTCAAACATTGATGACTAAGTTATTTCCAATAGATAGAATTAAAAAAAATTATTACTTATTTTCATGTTTTAGACTCATAAATTTTGAAGGTATAATATCTAACTGAAACTACTTCATTTTATATATAGCAATAATTTGTTAATAATATATTTTCTTGCAATTCTATATATTTTAGAAAAAATAATCTACATTTAATTTTTTAAACATTTCATGTAGATTTTTCAAATTAAAATATTTTCTACCCATTCTGGCATGGAAATGAGATTAGAATAAAAACTTTAATGCTCTTATAGATGTTTTAGCATAAAAATATTCTAGATATGTCTTATTATTATGCAATAGCATTCACTTTTTAATGTTTTAAACTTTTATTCTGCACTTTTTATATTAAATAAATGTCATATTTTAACATTGTTGTGAAGAAAAATTTCAAAAAATGCCATTTTTCAAGTGCCACTTTACAAAAATGCCACAATTTTGAAATCTTTACAAAAATGTCACTTTTTCAAAATTATTTTTATTTATATTATTTATGTTTGGGTTAATTATGTTCTATTAGAGTTTAGTTTTGAGTGTTTAGGGGGTTTTAGGTGTCAAAACATTTTTTAGGGTTTAGAATTTTAAGATATAGGCTTTATAAATCTATAATTAGTGGCATTTTTGTAAATGGACACCCCTAAGTGGCATTTTTGCAAATGTGCACACAAAAAGTGGTCTTTTTGTAATTGGCAATTATTTATAATTTTAATTATTTAATTATGAATATTATTTTTAAACGATGGTTAGTATTA